TGCTTTTTAATGCCTATCTGCTAGACTATATCTTTGGGGACAAACTATCTATATGTTTCAAATTTATTATAGCTTTAGTTTTACTGTGAAATTAAAAAAATGTTTTCAAAACATGTAAAGCTTCCACTGCAATTTAATTATTGCCTGCTTTTGGTCAATTTATTTTGTCATCTTACCTTGTAAGAAGAACATGTATAGTAAAACACCGCTTTATATCAGTATACATACTTACACCAGCAGCTACCATCCATTCATTCTGGAGTGAAGGGCTTTTTGAAATCACATATTTTACAATGATACTAGTGAGTAGATTTACAAAATTCGTTAATGAGCTCCGTTTTACAAACACCTGTGATACAAGAAGTCAGCCAAAATAAACTATCAATAGACCAATTAAAAGATTACTCGAGTTGTAAATATGTGCTAAATTGGATAGTCTATGGAAAGGTATATACTATGAAATTAAGAGCTCGGGGCAAGCCCCTCGCTCTAAATTTCATAGTATATACCTTTCCATAGACTAACCTAGACATAGTCAAAAGGTGAACTGTCAAACTGGCCAGAACCAGATAAAACAACTATTAAGAAAAGTAATTTGTCCAATAGCCAGTGGTGAGTAAATATCAAAGAGCCTAGATAGAGTATTTGGATTCATTGAACCATATAATACAAATATATGTTCAATATAGTAAGATCATTATAATATAGAGTAAATAGATATAAACGAAGTACAAAGTTGGGAATAATATCAAATAGATAATTTTTATATAAATGAACTTGTCCACAGTCTTTTCATCGCTTTTCGTTTTTGCCATGCGTTGTTAGTTTGTCTTTGACTTTGATTTCAATGAAAGTTATCTATGTATTACTGGTAAACTATGAAGTCAGAGATTTCGTTACCGCTATTGCTTTTTACTTAATTCTTCCATAGATACAAACAAAATGGTTTGGAAGTTTGACCGTTCCTATAGAATAGTATTTTTAAATGGAATAGCACATCCTAATTTTTACAGTGATGTTGTTTACCGGGCACGGAAATTTCGATCTTGGCTTATCAATCCTTTAAAAAAAACTTATTCTAACACTGTAATTAGACCTTTGAATATTGTTTTATCGGTATAAATATTGATTTTGTTATCAGTAAATTAAAACGATACTAAATAATATTGTTATACACATAGGCACATCTTAACATCGTTCAAGACCGAGAGTTAAAATCATTCCTCAGTAAAGGACCTAAATATCGTCCCCCGTCAATTATTAATTGGAATGAGTGTCGTAATATCATCCACGACTCACTCCATACTTACTGTTTGAAATGGATAAAACGGGAAAAAGCTGACAAAAAATCTTTGGACTCTTTTTTTAAATCAGTAATGAATATAGTTGATATACGTATTCAACATTTTAAAGAACATTTTACTCTTAACAATAACCACAATAAACCTATTTCTCGTATCAAACATAAACTAAAAGAACTAGCCAAGGAATTTGTTTTTGTCCCGGCCGATAAAGCTGCTAATAATATTATTATTGTTTGACGTAAATTTTACATTGAGGTTCTGAAAAAAGAAATCACCAATTCACCAACATTCCAACTGACTCCATTTTCAGAAAACGACATCTGTAACAAACATAAACTTTTAGCTACCGCTTTACAAGCAGAACCAAATACAATGAAAGTCCCAACTATGTATTGGCTTCCGAAGCTACACAAAACACCTTACAAATATAGATTCATTTCGTCTTCAAGCCATTGTTCCACTACTAAATTGTCTATTTTTCTTACCAGTACACTTGGTACAATCAAAAACCTGATAATAAATTGTTCAAATAAGGCCTTCGAAAATAGTGGAATTAATTACTTTTGGAGTGTCAAGAACTCGTTGGAAGTACTTGATAAATTGCATGCATATATTGGTGATTTTGAAAAGTTTTGATTTTTCTACCCTATATACCACATTGCCTCACATTGTCATTAAGAAAAAATTCACACACCTATTTAAATGGGCATTTAAAAAGTCAGAATGTGAATATATATGTTCAAACTCTTTTAGGTCATTTTTTAGTAGCAATAAACAAAAAAACTATGTCAATTGGACATGCTTTGATACTATATATGCCCTTGAATTTTTACTAGATAACATTTTTGTTCGCTTTGGAGATTCCGTATATCGTCAGGTTATCGGAATTCCAATGGGGACTAACTGTGGACAACTTATTGCGGACCTTTTTTTGTATTGCTATGAGTTACAATTTATGACAAAAATCAGCAAAGACCCATCGAAACAACATCTGATACACAAATTTAATAATACTTTTAGATATTTGGATGATATTTTGGCTCTCAATAATGACGACTTCAGTATGTATACTAAAGAAATTTATCCTGTTGAACTTACTTTAAATAAAGCTAATACTAACAATGACCACTGCCCTTTCCTCGATCTTGATATCTATATCATTAACGGAAAGCTTAATACTAAAATATATGATAAAAGAGATGATTTTTCATTTCCTATCGTTAATTATCCATTTTTAGATGGTGACGTTCCCTTGTCACCATCTTACGGTGTTTATATATCTCAACTTGTACGATTCGCTCGTGTATGTAACAATGTTTTAGATTTTAACGAGAGAAATTTATGTATTACTGAAAAATTATTACACCAGGGTTTTCGATATCACAAACTAGTCAAAACATTTACTAAATTTTATCATCGGTATAAGGACATCATTCGTAAATATAGCTCAACATGCAGACTTCTTATACGTTCAGGTATTTCACATCCAATTTTTTATGGAAATATTCTTTATAAAGCACAAAAATGTCAGTATTCACCTCTGAAGCTAACAAAACCTTTAAATAGACTTATTAAGAAGGGATATAGTTACGATACTGTTGTCAGGTCATTAAAGATTGCATATTTTGGCGTTAATATTGATTCACTTATAGGGTCTTTGCATCGGCACTAAACACATTTATTTAAAAACCAGTTGTTGGCATGACACGGGTTATGTTCTTCTCATATATGTTATGATGGTATGATACTAAACCCCTAACGGGAAGGATTGTGCCTGATATTCATATGATGAAGACATAATCTTTCAATCAGTTTAATTGAAGTCTGGAGCTGGCATGTCAGTTAACTGCTAGTAGTCTGTTGTTATTTATGTATTATTGTCATTTTGTTTATTTTCTTTGGTTACATCTTCTGACATCAGACTCGGACATCTCTTGAACTGAATTTTAATGTGCGTATTGTTATGCGTTTACTTTTCTACATTGGCTAGAGGTATAGGGGGAGGGTTGAGATCTCATAAACATGTTTAACCCCGCCGCATTTTTGCGCCTGTCCCAAGTCAGGAGCCTCTAGCCTTTGTCAGTCTTGTATTATTTTTAATTTTAGTTTCTTGTGTACAATTTGGAGTTTAGTATGGCGTTCATTATCACTGAACTAGTATATATATTTGTTTAGGGGCCAGCTGAAGGACGCCTCCAGGTGCGGGAATTTCTCGCTGCATTGAAGACCTGTTGGTGACCTTCTGCTGTTGTCTGTTCTATGGTCGGGTTGTTGTCTCTTTGACACATTCCCCATTTCCATTCTCAATTTTATTCAAGGTGCTACAAGGCTGAAGCTATCGAGACTCACACTGTTATTGCACAAGGTCATGTTTTTCTCCGACTGTTAATGACATCTCTACATTAAATCCTTTATATATTGGATGTGTACTGGTTGGTTTCTTAGCCATATATATATGATCTTTTTTTAATTAATTGTTGTTAGCTTTGATTGAGCTGTCAGTAACTGTGAGTACGGTACTCTCAGATCAGTATTTTATGTCTTTTTTGTTGTGAGGGTGTGAGGGATGTATAAATACCTTTCCACGTTCTATCTGTGTTTTTGTTATATGTTTTTCTGCTTTTAATCCATCTGATGAGTAAAGTCTTTTCACCTGAATTTTATAGTGTTCTTATGTTGTACTGTTACACCAGTGTCCAAAGTTATGGGGATGGTTGACGCCTTCAAACACGTTTAACCCCGCCACATTTAATATGTTCATGTCCCAATTCAGGAGCCCGTAAATGAGTGGGTGTCTTTTTTTCTGACTGTTTTTCATATTTGTTTTTCGTTATTTTTTTGCATAGTTTGTTCTTGTTTTGAGCGGTTACACCACTGTCCCTGGTTAGGGGAGGGTCCTCGCCTTGCATATGTTTAACCCCGACACATCCTACATGTGCCTGTCCAAAGTCAGGAGGCTGCAGTTCAGTGGTTGTCGTTGGTTCATGTCTGTCATATTTGTTTTTTCAGGAAATTTGTTTGTTTTTTTTTAATTAGGCCGTAAGTTTTCTCATTTATATTGTTTCATTTTTTTTCATGTTGGGGCCTTTTAAAGCCGACCATACGGTATTTTTTTCTCATTGATGAAAGCCGTACGGTTGCCTATAATTGCTCACCCACTTCATTTGAACTTTGGTCGATAGTTGTCTCATTGACAATCATACCACATCTCATTATATTTATATAATGAGGTTGAATTAATTGTCTCATAGACAATCATACCACATTTCATTATTTTTATATAATGAGGTTGAATTAATTGTCTTATAGGCAATCATACCACATCTCCTTATTTTTATATTATGAGGTTGAATATACCTTTTGTAACTGTCTTCTTGGCAATCATACTACAACTCCTTATTTTTTTATATTGTTTTATGTATTCACACCACTTGTCAAGCGCTCCTTTTTTTTTAAATCTCGTTTCAGTGAGAGGAATATATGGTACTAGATGAGATAGTATTGCGTTACCGCAACCCTTAATCAACGATTGAATGATTACATCTCGATGTACTGGTAGATGGTGCTTCACTTTCTACTTGTAACAAAAAAGCTCCGAAAAGCCTTTATTTGTCAACTGGTATCGTTGTATATTGACATTAATTGCACCCCTGCAGTTATATATAACCACAGACAGAGAATAAAAGAAAATAAAAACCCAACTATTAAACTTTATAGATTGAAAGCTGTATAACACATAAACGCTGATTATATTTCATTATCAAACATCTAAAATGTCAAATTTTGTTCAGGTAAATGTTTGCAAATAACTATTCATTCTTTAATTTTTTAATTTTACACCATTCAGCAAAATGACTTGACCTGTTTGTAAAAGTGTTGAACTTTTGTTCACCGAGTCGTGATTTAGCTCTTCTAACTACTTCTTCTGGTGGGTAGACATCACATTCGGTATAATCGTGAACAAATATGTTTTGATCTGCAAGTTTGAAAATGAAATCTTCCTCTACTATGGTCCTAGTTCCAAGAACGCCAGCATAGTTGTAATGTACCACCGAACATTTAATGGTTTCTGGATATTCTACCTTGGCAACTACGGCTTCGTGAGACAGGCTACAATACGTGAAATCAATAACATCTCCAGGGGAAATATTTGTTATCTCTGTAGCTTTCTTATATGGCAATGTCTTTAGCTCAGTTTTCCCAGTCTAAAATTAATCAAAAAGAAAACTCATCGTAAGCTATGGTCCTTTTGACTACCGGCATATACAAATTTCAACCAAAACATTAAGTTTTCTCCCGAAAAAAGTTTTTCCCTTTGGTTGCAAAATCTGGTAAAAATAAATCGTCATGCGAAGGGCAATAACTCGTTGGATCATTTTTGGTAGAGATAAATAGTAGAATATCCTGTCATTCTGACATTTAACTTCTGCTATATTCTCTATGTCCTATTATTGTTTTCTATATATTATGGGTAAAATAAATAGAGAATATCATTTGGCTTTTGCAATATCACATCCGTATCAACCCGAGACACCAATATAATCCCAAGAGCTCTGCTCGAGGAATTATATTAGTTGAGGGTTGATACGGTGTGTGATATTGAAAAAGCCACATCATATACACTTTGTTATAAACCTCAAGTAGATGTTTTTATGTGACATGACGTTAAACTGATATCGATGACGTGACGTAATACAAATTATTATATACTAAGTAGTAAATACAGATAAATTGTATGTGTAATACAATTATTGGCAAGCGTGCTGTATCAGCCACCCGTGATGATATCAATATCAGCACGGTTGCAAAACTTTATCACACCTTTAATCTCAATGACGTCACGTCATCGATTGCAGTCACGGTTGCAAATGCTTTATCAATCCCCTAATATGTATGACGTCATGTCAAACCTATAATCTGTATGACGTCATTTCAAACCTCCTTACCTGTATGACGTCATGTCACATAAAAACATCTACGTGAGGTATATGTATATAATAAAGTGTATATGATATGGCTTTTTCAATATCACACACCGCATCAACCCTCAACCAATATAATCCCTCGAGCAGAGCTCTTAGGATTATATTGGTGTCTCGGGTTGATACGGATGTGATATTGAAAAAGCCATATGATATTCTCTATTTAAAGGTGTGATAAAGCCTTTGCAACCGTGACTGATATCGATATCATCACGGATGGCTGATACAGCACGATTGCCGTTGACAGTATAACACATAGATATAAGAAGATGTGGTATGAGAGCCAATGAGACAACTCTCCATCCAAGTCAAAATTTATAAAAGTAAACCATTATAGGTCAAAGTACGGTCTTCAACACGGAGCCGTGGCTCACACCGAACAGCAAGCTATAAAGGGCCCCCAGAATTACTAGTGTAAAACCATTCAAATGGGAAAACCAACGGTCTAATCAATATAAAAAACGAGAAACGAGAAACACTAATGAACCACATCAACAAACGACAACTACTGAACATCAGATTCCAGACTTAGGACAGGTGCAAACAATTGCAGCGGGTTTAAACGTTTTAATGATACCAAACCTTCACCCTTATCTGAAACAATAGTGTAACATCACCACATAGAAAGACACACTATAAAATATCAATTGAAATGGCTTAACTCAATCAAAAGACATATTAATACAAGTGAACATACACTGAACAAATAAATTTGATCTATGATACAATGTAAATACAAAATAAATAAACTAAGGGAAGAATAATTAAAGTAACATGTTATACCGCTGCGAAATGTTAAACAATTGAAGAAAAGCAATATGCTTGAACAATAATATCAGCCATTTGCAATTACTTTAAACACAGGTAAATGAAAATAATTTTGTTGTTAGGTTTACGTGTACAGTTCAAATGGAGAAAGGAAATATTTTTACCAAATAAATAATTTTGATGTTTATAGTACGAAGAAGTGAAAATTTATAGTAATACCAAACACTTATCAAAGCTGGTATATAGACCAGATATAACCCTGAAAAAGTAAACATTAAAAAACAAAAAAAGCATTACAATTAGTATCAACAGGTCAAATAAACAAGAAAGTACGATTTGAGAGTACTCGCAGTTACTGACAGCTAGTTAAAAGCCAAAAACAATTAATAATAAAAAATCATGCATCAGAGACTAAAATCAACTAAAATACATCCCAGGGATTTAGTATTTTAACGTCATGGACAGTCAAAGAAGACATGACTTGTGCAATGCCAAAAATAAATGTATCGACAGGCAGTAGGATAGTCAGGAGTTAACCTCTTTATAGATCAAAATGAACGTGGGTGTGTCTTTATACATCCCGTTTGAAAAGAATACAAATCTAGTTATGTTTTAGTTTGCTGATGACAAAATCGATATTAGTGCCAATGTAAACTATATTCAAAGATCTAATTACAACATTGGTAAGATAACCTTTACTAATAAGTTTGTTTAAAGGTTCGATGAGTTTACACGGATCACATAGTGATTTCCGCGCTTTAAGTACAATATTACCGTAAAATTTAGGATGTGAAATATCGTTTTCTGTATTTATCATATACTTATAGAAAATAATGGTATAATTGTACCCCATGATAAAACTAATTTGTACATATGTTTATTCATTAAATTTGAAGAATTGTCTTAGCCGTGTGATATGAATTTTGTTATCAACTGCTTCTGGTTTATATCAACTGCTTCCGGTTATTATCGCATGCCTTTCTGTAACATAATCGCATGGCATTTCGACGTCATTCGGCAAATTCCGGAAAATAAACCTCAATGACATGTTTTTAGTGAAAAACATAACTAAGTTGGATAAAAAAAATAAACAAAATATTAGGAATCAGGAAAATATATTATTAAAAAATGCAAAAAAATTAATACAATTAATGCATTTTTCAAAGTTTTAAAAAAAGTTCTTGTCTGAAAGTCTTCTGCTGAAGTATATGATAAATAGAACATAACATGTCATTTTTCATATCAGACCCCTCATCAGCCCATGGTCAAAATCATCCCTCGAGCCTGTCGGCTCTCGGGCTGATAAGGGGTCTGATATGGAAAATGCCATGTTATAATCTATATTTATCATATACTTAGAGTAAATAACTTATAATTTTTACTGTATGATAATAGCATGAAATTTACTTGAATTCCATATTTTCCGAAATGGCGTTTAGCGGGCTGATATTAAAAATGTATCACATGCTTCCAGCTATTATCACATGCCTTTCCGTAACGTTATCGCATGGCGTTCCGGTGTTACTCGGCAAATTCCGGAAAATACACCACAATGGTACGTTTTCAGTGAAAAACATAACAAAGTAGGGTACGACACAATCATTAGGAAACAGGAAAATACATTATGTAAAATGCAAAAAATAAACAAATGATACAATAAATGCATTTTTCAAAGTTTCCAGCATAATTTTTTAAGTTACTTTATAAATGTTGACCTTTCCAAACAGTGTACATTATGTTTTGCAGAATTTTCTTTTATCGTCAATCTAAAAATATATTATACTGTTGTCTTTTCTCCTCTGTTGAGGCATATGATAGAAATTTGTCATATCGGATGTATTACATTTGGCGTCCGACGTCCGTAAACTTTTCACTTTTTGAAATTCTGCTTGTGAACCACCAAAAAGGATCATTATTTTCAAACTGTTATTTTTCTCCATTGTTGAAGCATATGATAAAAAGATCATAATATGTCGTTTTTCATACCAGATGTGTTATCAGCCATCGGTCAATATCAGCCCTCGAGCCTTCGGCTCTAGGGCTGATACATTGAACCTTGGGCTGATAATACATCTGCTATGAAAAATGCAATATAATAATCTGCTATTACTAATAAGTATATAATAAATATACAATATATGAAGATAAGTTGAAAAAGACGCACAAATAAAGAGTTATGTATTTACTGGCATTTGATCGATACCAGTTCTGTTGGATTGTACTGTTAGGCCCCCATAGTATCATCAGCTTAGTAGTCCGTGCTTTGGTACTTAAATGATTTATAACATAGAATTACTCTTCATAAAATCTCCGTTGAGAAATTAAGAACATTAATTATAAAGAAATTTTGAATTCCTTTTGGTCTTATATCTCCTAACGTTTTCATGTACCATTACATCATTGGCTTTTAAAGTTGTAGGTCTGAGCGTTACTGATGGAGATTTCAAGAAAAACGCTTTGGATGCACAAAATTTATAAAGTATTATTTCATTTACGAATGGTCTTCACTTACTCAATAAAAGATAATAAATTGTTTGTCTTTAATATATATTCTCTTCAGTAAACCTTATATAACTGCATAAAGATATTAACATTTTCTGTATCTCACCTTGCATTGTCTAGACAGATGACTAGATCTGTAAGAAAAAGTAGAGAAGTTCTGATCCCCACATCTGTCTAAGGCTCTCTTAACTACCTCTTGTGGCCGAAAGGTTTTTTCCTGGCTGAAATCGTACACGTAAACATAATCTTTTTTCAAATCAAAGAAAAAATCTTCTTTGACAACAGTTCGAGTGCCAAAGAAACCTGGATAGTTAAAATGCACAAGCGTTAATTTTACTTCGTGTAAATCGTTCGTATTGTAAGGGGAAACTCTTGTTGCAACACCTTCATGATTAAGACCAATATAAGGGAAGGTAATCACATCTCCATTGTGAATCATATTACATCGTTTCACCACTGGTTTTGGAATCTTTGAGGCTGGTTGTATCAGGGGCATAATTGTGTCCATAACAAATGAAGAAACAAACGGTAAAGCAACAGCAATAGCCGAACTTACAGCGAAATAGAACCAGGAAACGTGGAACATCACTGATATACCGATACTTATTAAACAAAATATGAGTGATATCGTCATTTTTCTGTGTTCCTTTTCGTAGCATTTTAAACACATCAACCCTTTCTGTAACTTGTCCTTTAACATTGCCATTCTATCAACCATGGAAAGCAAACTAGCTATAACAGATATATGAGCAAACCCTCTTATAAATGGTTTTATACTTTGGCAAACTTTTATTGCACCTTTAAGCAATAGCTTTAATAACCATGAAATTGTAGATTTCACGTAATTCGCACTTGACGATACTTGATTACTAAATTTTGAACCAATCGCAATTTCATTTGATTTTTCTTCGCAATTATTCCCAAAGAAATTGTAAGATTCAGCATGTTTCTCCTGTTCAAATTTGTCGGCCATTTTGTTTGCCCTGTCCACAATCTGTTCAGGTGTAAATGGACTCGACTTATACCGCACAACGTCAATCTCCTCCACCTGCATATTATATTCTTTTGTCTCTCGTACTACCGTAAACTTTCGTCTAATATCTTTCTGAAAATGAATCAATGTCATTTTTCCGACTCTTTGATTCCGTATAGCCTCCACGTCAGTAACGATGGCATGGTGGTTATACACATTCAAACCAACGATTCTTCTATGAAATCTAATGTGATCTCCGGGACTGATCTGTGTAATCCGGTGAACTTTTTCATACGTCATACATTCTTCACAGGTAGCGCCTAGTGTTTCAATAAACTCGTCTATATCGCCATTACTGTGTCCAAGATTTGTAATGTCAGAAATATCGACTTGTTCAAATTCTTGCAAAAATTCGCCATTATCTAGTACTTCATTTGTTAAACTGTCTAGTTCTGACTGAGAAAAGTTAATGCCATTCCTTATTTGTTTGTCAACAAATAGATTTGGTTGCTCTGTTTGGAGTATACGACGCAGCTCATTTTCTCTGCCTTCGAAATGAGACAGCAGATTTGTAAAGGAGGAACTTTCATTTTCATCTTGTGGAAATGTACTTCCTGTTGGTAATATTTGGCGAAGCGATGTCATCTACAAAGAATTAAAGATATCTTTAATGTTTCTGATGGAAAAATGATAGTTTCATGGACCTAAACGAAACAATATATGGTGCACTGATCATAACAATTTAAAATACAATGTTAAAACCAGTTGTTGGCATGACAAGGGTTATGTTCTTCTCATATATGTTATGATGGTATGATACTAAACCCCTAACGGGAAGGATTGTGCCTGATATTCATATGATGAAGACATAATCTTTCAATCAGTTTAATTGAAGTCTGGAGCTGGCATGTCAGTTAACTGCTAGTAGTCTGTTGTTATTTATGTATTATTGTCATTTTGTTTATTTTCTTTGGTTACATCTTCTGACATCAGACTCGGACTTCTCTTGAACTGAATTTTAATGTGCGTATTGTTATGCGTTTACTTTTCTACATTGGCTAGAGGTATAGGGGGAGGGTTGAGATCTCATAAACATGTTTAACCCCGCCGCATTTTTGCGCCTGTCCCAAGTCAGGAGCCTCTAGCCTTTGTTAGTCTTGTATTATTTTTAATTTTAGTTTCTTGTGTACAATTTGGAGTTTAGTATGGCGTTCATTATCACTGAACTAGTATATATATTTGTTTAGGGGCCAGCTGAAGGACGCCTCCGGGTGCGGGAATTTCTCGCTGCATTGAAGACCTGTTGGTGACCTTCTGCTGTTGTCTGTTCTATGGTCGGGTTGTTGTCTCTTTGACACATTCCCCATTTCCATTCTCAATTTTATTTATATGGTTTAGGGGTGGGAATATGAACAGTGTTTTAGCTATTTTACAATTAATGATAACAACAACACGACCAAAGAGCAAAAATAGCATGTTTAAATAAATAAATTATTCGGACATTAACGTCAGAGGTCAAGACCACATGAAGGTCATGATGATATACTACATACATGTACCATCTTGTGGTCATACATCTTCATGTCAAATAGCATCTTAATCCAGTGTCAAAAGATATCAGTTGTGGCCCGGACAAGGTTCTGAAGAAGGAGGAACACTACTTAACATAATGTTTTCCTTTGTTGCAGAAGAGACACTATATAAATAGATATTAGTTGCTAAGCTTAAGAAGATTGTTACTTCGAGAAAACATTGTCAAACGTGGCGAATCCTGAATGTTCTTTCCTTATTGACTTTTATATTTTAAGTTGAAACAATAATAAACTAATACTTTATGTACATAACTACGGAAGCGTATTAGCGCCACACAATTTTTTTTTATATTTTTTCCTATGTTTGCGATTAAAGGTTACACGATACCGAATGACGCTACGCCACGAGTTATCGTTCCTGCTGTTGTCGACATCCGTGAAATTGATGGCAAACGTAAAACCTGATGCTTTATAATAACTTAGAACGAATTGAACAAACAATTTGCCTCAGTCTGGTATAAAAAAGTTGAAAGATAAATGTTTCTTTATTTGAAATTTGCAAATATATATGATTATATATTAAAAATACCTTTATCATGGCATAGCGTCGCTCTCTATACGTATCATATTCTTTCACCACCAAAGGGTGTTTAAGTGCGATTGAAATAAAAGAACAATAATGAGAAAACAAAAACCAAAATCACAATATGTGAATTTAAATAATAAATTAACCTTTTATTCTAAATAAACATTTTTAATAGTAACTGTTCATAGATGCAGAGTGTCGAGGTATTTGATGCAATACGTTATTTGACATTGTTGCTTCGTCGTTTTCCTCTCATTCTTTACATTTAAATATATATTTTTTAAATGTTCTGTTTCTATTGATAAGTTCGCGTTTGTACGATTTATCTATATGTGTTCTTATGCATAACAGACTGAGCTTTTTATTCTGGGTTGGGTTTTTTGCAACACATTCTTATTAATGATGCACGCTGTTTACCAGACTCAAGCTAGCGACCAATTCTAGCGACCAATCAAGCTAGCGACCAATTCTAGCGACCACTAAAGAACACATTGAGAATCAACTTGTCTAAGAATCTTTATGTGGTATATGAGAAAACCACAAAACCACATTATGAAACAACGTTCTGTTAAAAAGAAAATCTATCTACCAGTACGGTATATATATTGTTTGTTAACGTTTAAATGACCAGAAATGTCCATCAAATTAAGGGAGAAGGGACACTACAATACGAATGACGTCTGTAGCTGAATGCACTGACTAGTTTGGTTGCTAAATGTCTGCATCAATATCAATGAGTAAAATACAACATGCCAGAATATCGTAAAAGTCAAAACAATTTAATACAATAGAAAAACAAAGGGTATGGGGTATCCCTCCATGACACAAAATCAGTAAATGCACAGCGAAAAACACACAAAAAGCTAAGGAACATTCTTCGTTAACGAACTATTTTTATTCCCCTACATTCGAACACATACTATATGTTATCATATATGTATTTATACAAATAAAGGTGCGCCCCTCTTCGGAGTTTATTTTATTGGGAGAGGGACTAGTTGGGAAATAAAGTAATCCATATCTTAACGTCTTCTTTACGATTTCTCTGTTTTCCAAACTCTAAACCGAGATCGCAAAGATAAATCAATTATTGTAAACAAAATATTAAAAACGGAGCGTATATCCCCCAAGCACATAATGGCTATACAATAGCACTTTGCGGTTTAGAAATCAGAATAAAAAGCTAAAGAGTTTTTAGAATTTGAATAATAAAAAAAACAAGCGTGTTTGTTTATGATGATTTGCTCGCACAATCGTGTTCAATATTCAATGAACCGTAAATAATTTAAAAAGTACATATTTTAATGAACATGTGTACCTAGTTTCAAGTTGATCTGACTACAACGTCATCTTAGACTAGATTCAACACTAACGTCATTCTAATGCAGTATGAATGGACGGACAAACGGACAAACGAATTAACGAACGAACGAACAAAAAAAAAAACAGATAATATTATGGGCTTTACTGTCGTAGGCGGAGCATAGAATAACTATGTAATGTGAGTTCACTTAAACTTGTTCCTTTGTACAATGTATCAGCTTTCAAATAAACGAAATAAGAAAAAATATTATGTGCGAAAGAATAACTATATACTGGCTTTCCATACACTCGGCATCCTCAAATATCCTTTATTTTCTAGAAAAGGAACTTTTAATGTCTATTCCCTATGCTGAAAATGAAAACATACAAAATAACAAACTATAAGAGTACATTTCATGCCCACAAACAATATTTTGAACTGAAAGTATACGTGCACTATTTTGTACGGCATGCATCCTTACTTAAAAGAAATGTAAAGATTTTTTTGTTTAAAAAAAACCCGTACACTTTGAATGTCAACTTTGAACCCCTCCAATTCCCAGAAGGTCCTAACCCCCAAAAAATCATTTAAGTGGGTCCTGCTCTGATTCATTACCTTTCATTTGAGCCATGTCCGGTGTCGAACTTTGCCGTACAGAGCTGGCGAAACTTGCCGAAAGAATGTACGGTGGACACGTAAAAAAAAAATAATACCAACTTTGAACCCCTTCAACTCCTAGAAGGTCCTAACCCCCAAAAAATCATTTAAGTGGGTCCTGTTCTGATTCATTACCTTTCATTTGAGCTATGTCCGGTGTCGAACTTTGCCGTACAGAGCTGGCGAAACTTGCCGAAAGAATGTACGGTGGACACGTAAAAAAAAGCCGTACACTTTGAACCCCTTCAATTCCCAGAAGGTCCTAACCCCCAAAAAATCATTTAAGTGGGTCCTGCTCTGATTCATTACCTTTCATTTGAGCTTTGTCCGGTGTCGAACTTTGCCGTACGAAGCTGGCGAGACTTGCCGAAAGAATGTACGGTGGACACGTAAAAAAAAAAATAATACCAAATTTGAACCCCTTCAATTCCCAGAAGGTCCTAACCCCCAAAAAATCATTTAAGTGGTTCCTGCTCTGATTCATTACCTTTCATTTGAGCTATGTCCGGTGTCGAACTTTGCCGTACAGAGCTGGCGAAACTTGCCGAAAGAATGTACGGTGGACACGTAAAAAAAAAGTAATACCAACTTTGAACCCCTTCAATTCCCAGAAAGTCCTAACCCCCAAAAAATCATTTAAGTGGGTCCTGCTCTGATTCATTACCTTTCATTTGAGCTTTGTCCGGTGTCGAACTTTGCCGTTCGAAGCTGGCGAGACTTGCCGAAAGAATGTACGGTGGACACGTAAAAAAAAAAATAATACCAACTTTGAACCCCTTCAATTCCCAGAAGGTCCTAACCCCCAAAAAATCATTTAAGTGGGTCCTGCTCTGATTCATTACCTTTCATTTGAGCTATGTCCGGTGTCGAACTTTGCCGTACAGAGCTGGCGAAACTTGCCGAAAGAATGTACGGTGGACACGTAAAAAAAAAATAATACCAACTTTGAACCCCTTCAATTCCCAGAAGGTCCTAACCCCCAAAAATCATTTAAGTGGGTCCTGCTCTGATTCATTACCTTTCATTTGAGCTATGTCCGGTGTCGAACTTTGCCGTACGGAGCTGGCGAGACTTGTCGAAAGAATGTACGGTGGACACGTAAAAAAAAAAATAATACCAACTTTCAACCCCTTCAATTCCTAGAAGGTCCTAACCCCCAAAAAATCATTTAAGTGGGTCCTGCTCTGATTCATTACCTTTCATTTGAGCTATGTCCGGTGTCGAACTTTGCCGTACAGAGCTGGCGAAACTTGCCGAAAGAATGTACGGTGGACACGTAAAAAAAAATAATACCAACTTTGAACCCCTTCAATTCCCAGAAGGTCCTAACCCCCAAAAAATCATTTAAGTGGGTCCTGCTCTGATTCATTACCTTTCATTTGAGCTTTGTCCGGTGTCGAACTTTGCCGTACGAAGCTGGCGAGACTTGCCGAAAGAATGTACGGTGGACACGTAAAAAAAAAATAATACCAACTTTGAACCCCTTCAATTCCCAGAAGGTCCTAACCCCAAAAAAATCATTTAAGTGGGTCCTGCTCTGATTCATTACCTTTCATTTGAGCTATGTCCGGTGTCGAACTTTGCCGTACAGAGCTGGCGAAACTTGCCGAAAGAATGTACGGTGGACACGTAAAAAACAAATAATACCAACTTTGAACCCCTTCAATTCCCAGAAGGTCCTAACCCCCAAAAATCATTTAAGTGGGTCCTGCTCTGATTCATTACCTTTCATTTGAGCTATGTCCGGTGTCGAACTTTGCCGTACAGAGCTGGCGAGACTTGCCGAAAGAATGTACGGTGGACACGTAAAAAAAAAATAATACCAACTTTGAACCCCTTCAATTCCCAGAAGGTCCTAACCCCCAAAAATCATTTAAGTGGGTCCTGCTCTGATTCATTACCTTTCATTTGAGCTATGTCCGGTGTCGAACTTTGCCGTACGGAGCTGGCGAGACTTGTCGAAAGAATGTACGGTGGACACGTAAAAAAAAAAATAATACCAACTTTGAACCCCTTCAATTCCTAGAAGGTCCTAACCCCCAAAAAATCATTTAAGTGGGTCCTGCTCTGATTCATTACCTTTCATTTGAGCTATGTCCGGTGTCGAACTTTGCCGTACAGAGCTGGCGAAACTTGCCGAAAGAATGTACGGTGGACACGTAAAAAAAAAATAATACCAACTTTGAACCCCTTCAATTCCCAGAAGGTCCTAACCCCCAAAAAATCATTTAAGTGGGTCCTGCTCTGATTCATTACCTTTCATTTGAGCTTTGTCCGGTGTCGAACTTTGCCGTACGAAGCTGGCGAGACTTGCCGAAAGAATGTACGGTGGGCACGTAAAAAAAAAAATAATACCAACTTTGAACCCCTTCAATTCCCAGAAGGTCCTAACCCCCAAAAAATCATTTTTTTTTACGTGTCCACCGTACATTCTTTCGGCAAGTTTCGCCAGCTCTGTACGGCAAAGTTTGACACCGGACATAGCTCAAATGAAAGGTAATGAATCAGAGCAGGACCCACTTAAATGATTTTTTGGGGGTTAGGACCTTCTAGGAATTGAAGGGGTTCAAAGTTGGTATTATTTTTTTTTTTACGTGTCCACCGTACATTCTTTCGGAAAGTCTCGCCAGCTCCGTACGGCAAAGTTCGACACCGGACATATTTCAAATGAAAGGTAATGAATCAAAGCAGGACCCACTTAAATGATTTTTGGGGGATAGGACCTTCTGGGAATTGAAGGGGTTCAAAGTTGGTATTATTTTTTTTTGACGTGTCCACCGTACATTCTTTCGGCAAGTTTCGCCAGCTCTGTACGGCAAAGTTCAACACCGGACATAGCTCAAATGAAAGGTAATGAATCAGAGCAGGACCCACTTAAATGATTTTTTGGGGGTTAGGACCTTCTAGGAATTGAAGGGGTTCAAAGTTGGTATTATTTTTTTTTTACGTGTCCACCGTACATTCTTTCGGCAAGTCTCGCCAGCTCCGTACGGCAAAGTTCGACACCGGACATAGCTCAAATGAAAGGTAATGAATCAGAGCAGGACCCACTTAAATGATTTTTTGGGGGTTAGGACCTTCTGGGAATTGAAGGGGTTCAAAGTTGGTATTATTTTTTTTTTACGTGTCCACCGTACATTCTTTCGGCAAGTTTCGCCAGTTCTGTACGGCAAAGTTCAACACCGGACATAGCTCAAATGAAAGGTAATGAATCAGAGCAGGACCCACTTAAATGATTTTTTGGGGGTTAGGACCTTCTAGGAATTGAAGGGGTTCAAAGTTGGTATTAATTTTTTTTTTACGTGTCCACCGTACATTCTTTCGGCAAGTCTCGCCAGCTCCGTACGGCAAAGTTCGACACCGGACATAGCTCAAATGAAAGGTAATGAATCAGAGCAGGACCCACTTAAATGATTTTTTGGGGGTTAGGACCTTCTGGGAATTGAAGGGGTTCAAAGTTGGTATTATTTTTTTTTTACGTGTCCACCGTACATTCTTTCGGCAAGTTTCGCCAGCTCTGTACGGCAAAGTTCAACACCGGACATAGCTCAAATGAAAGGTAATGAATCAGAGCAGGACCCACTTAAATGATTTTTTGGGGGTTAGGACCTTCTAGGAATTGAAGGGGTTCAAAGTTGGTATTATTTTTTTTTTACGTGTCCACCGTACATTCTTTCGGCAAGTCTCGCCAGCTCCGTACGGCAAAGTTCGACACCGGACATAGCTCAAATGAAAGGTAATGAATCAGAGCAGGACCCACTTAAATGATTTTTTGGGGGTTAGGACCTTCTGGGAATTGAAGGGGTTCAAAGTTGGTATTATTTTTTTTTTTACGTGTCCACCGTACATTCTTTCGGCAAGTTTCGCCAGCTCTGTACGGCAAAGTTCAACACCGGACATAGCTCAAATGAAAGGTAATGAATCAGAGCAGGACCCACTTAAATGATTTTTTGGGGGTTAGGACCTTCTGGGAATTGAAGGGGTTCAAAGTTGGTATTATTTTTTTTTTTACGTGTCCACCGTACATTCTTTCGGCAAGTTTCGCCAGCTCTGTACGGCAAAGTTCAACACCGGACATAGCTCAAATGAAAGGTAATGAATCAGAGCAGGACCCACTTAAATGATTTTTTGGGGGTTAGGACCTTCTAGGAATTGAAGGGGTTCAAAGTTGGTATTAATTTTTTTTTTACGTGTCCACCGTACATTCTTTCGGCAAGTCTCGCCAGCTCCGTACGGCAAAGTTCAACACCGGACATAGCTCAAATGAAAGGTAATGAATCAGAGCAGAACCCACTTAAATGATTTTTTGGGGGTTAGGACCTTCTGGGAATTGAAGGGGTTCAAAGTTGGTATTATTTTTTTTTTTACGTGTCCACCGTACATTCTTTCGGCAAGTTTCGCCAGCTCTGTACGGCAAAGTTCAACACCGGACATAGCTCAAATGAAAGGTAATGAATCAGAGCAGGACCCACTTAAATGATTTTTTGGGGGTTAGGACCTTCTGGGAATTGAAGGGGTTCAAAGTTGGTATTATTTTTTTTTTTACGTGTCCACCGTACATTCTTTCGGCAAGTTTCGCCAGCTCTGTACGGCAAAGTTCAACACCGGACATAGTTCAAATGAAAGGTAATGAATCAGAGCAGGACCCACTTAAATGATTTTTTGGGGGTTAGGACCTTCTGGGAATTGAAGGGGTTCAAAGTTGGTATTATTTTTTTTTTTACGTGTCCACCGTACATTCTTTCGGCAAGTTTCGCCAGCTCTGTACGGCAAAGTTCAACACCGGACATAGCTCAAATGAAAGGTAATGAATCAGAGCAGGACCCACTTAAATGATTTTTTGGGGGTTAGGACCTTCTGTGAATTGAAGGGGTTCAAAGTTGGTATTATTTTTTTTTTTACGTGTCCACCGTACATTCTTTCGGCAAGTTTCGCCAGCTCTGTACGGCAAAGTTCAACACCGAACATAGCTCAAATGAAAGGTAATGAATCAGAGCAGGACCCACTTAAATGATTTTTTGGGGGTTAGGACCTTCTAGGAATTGAAGGGGTTCAAAGTTGGTATTCATTTTTTTTTTACGTGTCCACCGTACATTCTTTCGGCAAGTCTCGCCAGCTCCGTACGGCAAAGTTCGACACCGGACATAGCTCAAATGAAAGGTAATGAATCAGAGCAGGACCCACTTAAATGATTTTTTGGGGGTTAGGACCTTCTGGGAATTGAAGGGGTTCAAAGTTGGTATTATTTTTTTTTTTACGTGTCCACCGTACATTCTTTCGGCAAGTTTCGCCAGCTCTGTACGGCAAAGTTCAACACCGGACATAGCTCAAATGAAAGGTAATGAATCAGAGCAGGACCCACTTAAATGATTTTTTGGGGGTTAGGACCTTCTGGGAATTGAAGGGGTTCAAAGTTGGTATTAATTTTTTTTTTTACGTGTCCACCGTACATTCTTTCGGCAAGTTTCGCCAGCTCTGTACAGCAAAGTTCAACACCGGACATAGTTCAAATGAAAGGTAATGAATCAGAGCAGGACCCACTTAAATGATTTTTTGGGGGTTAGGACCTTCTAGGAATTGAAGGGGTTCAAAGTTGGTATTAATTTTTTTTTTACGTGTCCACCGTAAATTCTTTCGGCAAGTCTCGCCAGCTCCATACGGCAAAGTTCGACACCGGACATAGCTCAAATGAAAGGTAATGAATCAGAGCAGGACCCACTTAAATGATTTTTTGGGGGTTAGGACCTTCTGGGAATTGAAGGGGTTCAAAGTTGGTATTATTTTTTTTTTTACGTGTCCACCGTACATTCTTTCGGCAAGTTTCGCTAGCTCTGTACGGCAAAGTTCAACACCGGACATAGCTCAAATGAAAGGTAATGAATCAGAGCAGGACCCACTTAAATGATTTTTTGGGGGTTAGGACCTTCTGTGATGTGAAGGGGTTCAAAGTTGGTATTATTTTTTATTTTACGTGTCCACCGTACATTCTTTCGGCAAGTTTCGCCAGCTCTGTACGGCAAAGTTCAACACCGGACATAGCTCAAATGAAAGGTAATGAATCACAGCAGGACCCACTTAAATGATTTTTTGGGGGTTAGGACCTTCTAGGAATTGAAGGGGTTCAAAGTTGGTATTAATTTTTTTTTTACGTGTCCACCGTACATTCTTTCGGCAAGTCTCGCCAGCTCCGTACGGCAAAGTTCGACACCGGACATAGCTCAAATGAAAGGTAATGAATCAGAGCAGGACCCACTTAAATGATTTTTTGGGGGTTAGGACCTTCTGGGAATTGAAGGGGTTCAAAGTTGGTATTATTTTTTTTTTTACGTGTCAACCGTACATTCTTTCGGCAAGTTTCGCCAGCTCTGTACGGCAAAGTTCAACACCGGACATAGCTCAAATGAAAGGTAATGAATCAGAGCAGGACCCACTTAAATGATTTTTTGGGGGTTAGGACCTTCTGGGAATTGAAGGGGTTCAAAGTTGGTATTATTTTTTTTTTTACGTGTCCACCGTACATTCTTTCGGCAAGTTTCGCCAGCTCTGTACGGCAAAGTTCAACACCGGACATAGCTCAAATGAAAGGTAATGAATCACAGCAGGACCCACTTAAATGATTTTTTGGGGGTTAGGACCTTCTAGGAATTAAAGGGGTTCAAAGTTGGTATTAATTTTTTTTTTACGTGTCCACCGTACATTCTTTCGGCAAGTCTCGCCAGCTCCGTACGGCAAAGTTCGACACCGGACATAGCTCAAATGAAAGGTAATGAATCAGAGCAGGACCCACTTAAATGATTTTTTGGGGGTTAGGACCTTCTGGGAATTGAAGGGGTTCAAAGTTGGTATTATTTTTTTTTTTACGTGTCAACCGTACATTCTTTCGGCAAGTTTCGCCAGCTCTGTACGGCAAAGTTCAACACCGGACATAGCTCAAATGAAAGGTAATGAATCAGAGCAGGACCCACTTAAATGATTTTTTGGGGGTTAGGACCTTCTGGGAATTGAAGGGGTTCAAAGTTGGTATTATTTTTTTTTTTACGTGTCCACCGTACATTCTTTCGGCAAGTTTCGCCAGCTCTGTACGGCAAAGTTCAACACCGGACATAGTTCAAATGAAAGGTAATGAATCAGAGCAGGACCCACTTAAATGATTTTTTGGGGGTTAGGACCTTCTAGGAATTGAAGGGGTTCAAAGTTGGTATTAATTTTTTTTTTACGTGTCCACCGTACATTCTTTCGGCAAGTCTCGCCAGCTCCGTACGGCAAAGTTCGACACCGGACATAGCTCAAATGAAAGGTAATGAATCAGAGCAGGACCCACTTAAATGATTTTTTGGGGGTTAGGACCTTCTGGGAATTGAAGTGGTTCAAAGTTGGTATTATTTTTTTTTTTACGTGTCCACCGTACATTCTTTCGGCAAGTTTCGCCAGCTCTGTACGGCAAAGTTCAACACCGGACATAGCTCAAATGAAAGGTAATGAATCAGAGCAGGACCCACTTAAATGATTTTTTGGGGGTTAGGACCTTCTAGGAATTGAAGGGGTTCAAAGTTGGTATTAATTTTTTTTTTACGTGTCCACCGTACATTCTTTCGGCAAGTCTCGCCAGCTCCGTACGGCAAAGTTCGACACCGGACATAGCTCAAATGAAAGGTAATGAATCAGAGCAGGACCCACTTAAATGATTTTTTGGGGGTTAGGACCTTCTGGGAATTGAAGGGGTTCAAAGTTGGTATTATTTTTTTTTTTACGTGTCCACCGTACATTCTTTCGGCAAGTTTCGCCAGCTCTGTACGGCAAAGTTCAACACCGGACATAGCTCAAATGAAAGGTAATGAATCAGAGCAGGACCCACTTAAATGATTTTTTGGGGGTTAGGACCTTCTGGGAATTGAAGGGGTTCAAAGTTGGTATTATTTTTTTTTTTACGTGTCCACCGTACATTCTTTCGGCAAGTTTCGCCAGCTCTGTACGGCAAAGTTCAACACCGGACATAGTTCAAAAGAAAGGTAATGAATCAGAGCAGGACCCACTTAAATGATTTTTTGGGGGTTAGGACCTTCTAGGAATTGAAGGGGTTCAAAGTTGGTATTAATTTTTTTTTTACGTGTCCACCGTACATTCTTTCGGCAAGTTTCGCCAGCTCCGTACGGCAAAGTTCGACACCGGACATAGCTCAAATGAAAGGTAATGAATCAGAGCAGGACCCACTTAAATGATTTTTTGGGGGTTAGGACCTTCTGGGAATTGAAGGGGTTCAAAGTTGGTATTATTTACGTGTCCACCTTACATTCTTTCGGCAAGTTTCGCCAGCTCTGTACGGCAAAGTTCAACACCGGACATAGCTCAAATGAAAGGTAATGAATCAGAGCAGGACCCACTTAAATGATTTTTTGGGGGTTAGGACCTTCTGTGAATTGAAGGGGTTCAAAGTTGGTATTATTTTTTTTTTTACGTGTCCACCGTACATTCTTTCGGCAAGTTTCGCCAGCTCTGTACGGCAAAGTTCAACACCGGACATAGCTCAAATGAAAGGTAATGAATCAGAGCAGGACCCACTTAAATGATTTTTTGGGGGTTAGGACCTTCTAGGAATTGAAGGGGTTCAAAGTTGGTATTAATTTTTTTTTTACGTGTCCACCGTACATTCTTTCGGCAAGTCTCGCCAGCTCCGTACGGCAAAGTTCGACACCGGACATAGCTCAAATGAAAGGTAATGAATCAGAGCAGGACCCACTTAAATGATTTTTTGGGGGTTAGGACCTTCTGGGAATTGAAGGGGTTCAAAGTTGGTATTATTTTTTTTTTTACGTGTCCACCGTACATTCTTTCGGCAAGTTTCGCCAGCTCTGTACGGCAAAGTTCAACACCGGACATAGCTCAAATGAAAGGTAATGAATCAGAGCAGGACCCACTTAAATGATTTTTTGGGGGTTAGGACCTTCTGGGAATTGAAGGGGTTCAAAGTTGGTATTAATTTTTTTTTTTACGTGTCCACCGTACATTCTTTCGGCAAGTTTCGCCAGCTCTGTACAGCAAAGTTCAACACCGGACATAGTTCAAATGAAAGGTAATGAATCAGAGCAGGACCCACTTAAATGATTTTTTGGGGGTTAGGACCTTCTAGGAATTGAAGGGGTTCAAAGTTGGTATTAATTTTTTTTTTACGTGTCCACCGTAAATTCTTTCGGCAAGTCTCGCCAGCTCCGTACGGCAAAGTTCGACACCGGACATAGCTCAAATGAAAGGTAATGAATCAGAGCAGGACCCACTTAAATGATTTTTTGGGGGTTAGGACCTTCTGGGAATTGAAGGGGTTCAAAGTTGGTATTATTTTTTTTTTACGTGTCCACCGTACATTCTTTCGGCAAGTTTCGCCAGCTCTGTACGGCAAAGTTCAACACCGGACATAGCTCAAATGAAAGGTAATGAATCAGAGCAGGACCCACTTAAATGATTTTTTGGGGGTTAGGACCTTCTGTGAATTGAAGGGGTTCAAAGTTGGTATTATTTTTTATTTTACGTGTCCACCGTACATTCTTTCGGCAAGTTTCGCCAGCTCTGTACGGCAAAGTTCAACACCGGACATAGCTCAAATGAAAGGTAATGAATCAGAGTAGGACCCACTTAAATGATTTTTTGGGGGTTAGGACCTTCTAGGAATTGAAGGGGTTCAAAGTTGGTATTAATTTTTTTTTTACGTGTCCACCGTACATTCTTTCGGCAAGTCGCGCCAGCTCCGTACGGCAAAGTTCGACACCGGACATAGCTCAAATGAAAGGTAATGAATCAGAGCAGGACCCACTTAAATGATTTTTTGGGGGTTAGGACCTTCTGGGAATTGAAGGGTTCAAAGTTGGTATTATTTTTTTTTTTACGTGTCAACCGTACATTCTTTCGGCAAGTTTCGCCAGTTCTGTACGGCAAAGTTCAACACCGGACATAGCTCAAATGAAAGGTAATGAATCAGAGCAGGACCCACTTAAATGATTTTTTGGGGGTTAGGACCTTCTGGGAATTGAAGGGGTTCAAAGTTGGTATTATTTTTTTTTTTACGTGTCCACCGTACATTCTTTCGGCAAGTTTCGCCAGCTCTGTACGGCAAAGTTCAACACCGGACATAGTTCAAATGAAAGGTAATGAATCAGAGCAGGACCCACTTAAATGATTTTTTGGGGGTTAGGACCTTCTAGGAATTGAAGGGGTTCAAAGTTGGTATTAATTTTTTTTTTACGTGTCCACCGTACATTCTTTCGGCAAGTCTCGCCAGCTCCGTACGGCAAAGTTCGACACCGGACATAGCTCAAATGAAAGGTAATGAATCAGAGCAGGACCCACTTAAATGATTTTTTGGGGGTTAGGACCTTCTGGGAATTGAAGGGGTTCAAAGTTGGTATTATTTTTTTTTTTACGTGTCCACCGTACATTCTTTCGGCAAGTTTCGCCAGCTCTGTACGGCAAAGTTCAACACCGGACATAGCTCAAATGAAAGGTAATGAATCAGAGCAGGACCCACTTAAATGATTTTTTGGGGGTTAGGACCTTCTAGGAATTGAAGGGGTTCAAAGTTGGTATTAATTTTTTTTTTACGTGTCCACCGTACATTCTTTCGGCAAGTCTCGCCAGCTCCGTACGGCAAAGTTCGACACCGGACATAGCTCAAATGAAAGGTAATGAATCAGAGCAGGACCCACTTAAATGATTTTTTGGGGGTTAGGACCTTCTGGGAATTGAAGGGGTTCAAAGTTGGTATTATTTTTTTTTTTACGTGTCCACCGTACATTCTTTCGGCAAGTTTCGCCAGCTCTGTACGGCAAAGTTCAACACCGGACATAGCTCAAATGAAAGGTAATGAATCAGAGCAGGACCCACTTAAATGATTTTTTGGGGGTTAGGACCTTCTGGGAATTGAAGGGGTTCAAAGTTGGTATTATTTTTTTTTTTACGTGTCCACCGTACATTCTTTCGGCAAGTTTCGCCAGCTCTGTACGGCAAAGTTCAACACCGGACATAGTTCAAAAGAAAGGTAATGAATCAGAGCAGGACCCACTTAAATGATTTTTTGGGGGTTAGGACCTTCTAGGAATTGAAGGGGTTCAAAGTTGGTATTAATTTTTTTTTTACGTGTCCACCGTACATTCTTTCGGCAAGTCTCGCCAGCTCCGTACGGCAAAGTTCGACACCGGACATAGCTCAAATGAAAGGTAATGAATCAGAGCAGGACCCACTTAAATGATTTTTTGGGGGTTAGGACCTTCTGGGAATTGAAGGGGTTCAAAGTTGGTATTATTTACGTGTCCACCGTACATTCTTTCGGCAAGTTTCGCCAGCTCTGTACGGCAAAGTTCAACACCGGACATAGCTCAAATGAAAGGTAATGAATCAGAGCAGGACCCACTTAAATGATTTTTTAGGGGTTAGGACCTTCTGGGAATTGAAGGGGTTCAAAGTTGGTATTATTTTTTTTTTTACGTGTCCACCGTACATTCTTTCGGCAAGTTTCGCCAGCTCTGTACGGCAAAGTTCAACACCGGACATAGCTCAAATGAAAGGTAATGAATCAGAGCAGGACCCACTTAAATGATTTTTTGGGGGTTAGGACCTTCTGGGAATTGAAGGGGTTCAAAGTTGGTATTATTTTTTTTTTTACGTGTCCACCGTACATTCTTTCGGCAAGTTTCGCCAGCTCTGTACGGCAAAGTTCAACACCGGACATAGTTCAAAAGAAAGGTAATGAATCAGAGCAGGACCCACTTAAATGATTTTTTGGGGGTTAGGACCTTCTAGGAATTGAAGGGGTTCAAAGTTGGTATTAATTTTTTTTTTACGTGTCCACCGTACATTCTTTCGGCAAGTCTCGCCAGCTCCGTACGGCAAAGTTCGACACCGGACATAGCTCAAATGAAAGGTAATGAATCAGAGCAGGACCCACTTAAATGATTTTTTGGGGGTTAGGACCTTCTGGGAATTGAAGGGGTTCAAAGTTGGTATTATTTACGTGTCCACCGTACATTCTTTCGGCAAGTTTCGCCAGCTCTGTACGGCAAAGTTCAACACCGGACATAGCTCAAATGAAAGGTAATGAATCAGAGCAGGACCCACTTAAATGATTTTTTGGGGGTTAGGACCTTCTGGGAATTGAAGGGGTTCAAAGTTGGTATTAATTTTTTTTTTACGTGTCCACCGTACATTCTTTCGGCAAGTTTCGCCAGCTCTGTACAGCAAAGTTCAACACCGGACATAGTTCAAATGAAAGGTAATGAATCAGAGCAGGACCCACTTAAATGATTTTTTGGGGGTTAGGACCTTCTAGGAATTGAAGGGGTTCAAAGTTGGTATTAATTTTTTTTTTACGTGTCCACCGTAAATTCTTTCGGCAAGTCTCGCCAGCTCCGTACGGCAAAGTTCGACACCGGACATAGCTCAAATGAAAGGTAATGAATCAGAGCAGGACCCACTTAAATGATTTTTTGGGGGTTAGGACCTTCTGGGAATTGAAGGGGTTCAAAGTTGGTATTATTTTTTTTTTTACGTGTCCACCGTACATTCTTTCGGCAAGTTTCGCCAGCTCTGTACGGCAAAGTTCGACACCGGACATAGCTCAAATGAAAGGTAATGAATCAGAGCAGGACCCACTTAAATGATTTTTTGGGGGTTAGGACCTTCTGGGAATTGAAGGGGTTCAAAGTTGGTATTATTTTTTTTTTTACGTGTCCACCGTACATTCTTTCGGCAAGTTTCGCCAGCTCTGTACGGCAAAGTTCAACACCGGACATAGCTCAAATGAAAGGTAATGAATCAGAGCAGGACCCACTTAAATGATTTTTTGGGGGTTAGGACCTTCTGGGAATTGAAGGGGTTCAAAGTTGGTATTATTTTTTTTTTTACGTGTCCACCGTACATTCTTTCGGCAAGTTTCGCCAGCTCTGTACGGCAAAGTTCAACACCGGACATAGTTCAAAAGAAAGGTAATGAATCAGAGCAGGACCCACTTAAATGATTTTTTGGGGGTTAGGACCTTCTAGGAATTGAAGGGGTTCAAAGTTGGTATTAATTTTTTTTTTACGTGTCCACCGTACATTCTTTCGGCAAGTCTCGCCAGCTCCGTACGGCAAAGTTCGACACCGGACATAGCTCAAATGAAAGGTAATGAATCAGAGCAGGACCCACTTAAATGATTTTTTGGGGGTTAGGACCTTCTGGGAATTGAAGGGGTTCAAAGTTGGTATTATTTACGTGTCCACCGTACATTCTTTCGGCAAGTTTCGCCAGCTCTGTACGGCAAAGTTCAACACCGGACATAGCTCAAATGAAAGGTAATGAATCAGAGCAGGACCCACTTAAATGATTTTTTGGGGGTTAGGACCTTCTGGGAATTGAAGGGGTTCAAAGTTGGTATTAATTTTTTTTTTACGTGTCCACCGTACATTCTTTCGGCAAGTTTCGCCAGCTCTGTACAGCAAAGTTCAACACCGGACATAGTTCAAATGAAAGGTAATGAATCAGAGCAGGACCCACTTAAATGATTTTTTGGGGGTTAGGACCTTCTAGGAATTGAAGGGGTTCAAAGTTGGTATTAATTTTTTTTTTACGTGTCCACCGTAAATTCTTTCGGCAAGTCTCGCCAGCTCCGTACGGCAAAGTTCGACACCGGACATAGCTCAAATGAAAGGTAATGAATCAGAGCAGGACCCACTTAAATGATTTTTTGGGGGTTAGGACCTTCTGGGAATTGAAGGGGTTCAAAGTTGGTATTATTTTTTTTTTTACGTGTCCACCGTACATTCTTTCGGCAAGTTTCGCCAGCTCTGTACGGCAAAGTTCAACACCGGACATAGCTCAAATGAAAGGTAATGAATCAGAGCAGGACCCACTTAAATGATTTTTTGGGGGTTAGGACCTTCTAGGAATTGAAGGGGTTCAAAGTTGGTATTAATTTTTTTTTTACGTGTCCACCGTACATTCTTTCGGCAAGTCTCGCCAGCTCCGTACGGCAAAGTTCGACACCGGACATAGCTCAAATGAAAGGTAATGAATCAGAGCAGGACCCACTTAAATGATTTTTTGGGGGTTAGGACCTTCTGGGAATTGAAGGGGTTCAAAGTTGGTATTATTTTTTTTTTTACGTGTCCACCGTACATTCTTTCGGCAAGTTTCGCCAGCTCTGTACGGCAAAGTTCAACACCGGACATAGCTCAAATGAAAGGTAATGAATCAGAGCAGGACCCACTTAAATGATTTTTTGGGGGTTAGGACCTTCTGGGAATTGAAGGGGTTCAAAGTTGGTATTATTTTTTTTTTACGTGTCCACCGTACATTCTTTCGGCAAGTTTCGCCAGCTCTGTACGGCAAACTTCAACACCGGACATAGTTCAAATGAAAGGTAATGAATCAGAGCAGGACCCACTTAAATGATTTTTTGGGGGTTAGGACCTTCTAGGAATTGAAGGGGTTCAAAGTTGGTATTAATTTTTTTTTTACGTGTCCACCGTACATTCTTTCGGCAAGTCTCGCCAGCTCCGTACGGCAAAGTTCGACACCGGACATAGCTCAAATGAAAGGTAATGAATCAGAGCAGGACCCACTTAAATGATTTTTTGGGGGTTAGGACCTTCTGGGAATTGAAGGGGTTCAAAGTTGGTATTATTTTTTTTTTTACGTGTCCACCGTACATTCTTTCGGCAAGTTTCGCCAGCTCTGTACGGCAAAGTTCAACACCGGACATAGCTCAAATGAAAGGTAATGAATCAGAGCAGGACCCACTTAAATGATTTTTTGGGGGTTAGGACCTTCTGTGAATTGAAGGGGTTCAAAGTTGGTATTATTTTTTTTTTTACGTGTCCACCGTACATTCTTTCGGCAAGTTTCGCCAGCTCTGTACGGCAAAGTTCAACACCGGACATAGCTCAAATGAAAGGTAATGAATCAGAGCAGGACCCACTTAAATGATTTTTTGGGGGTTAGGACCTTCTAGGAATTGAAGGGGTTCAAAGTTGGTATTAATTTTTTTTTACGTGTCCACCGTACATTCTTTCGGCAAGTCTCGCCAGCTCCGTACGGCAAAGTTCGACACCGGACATAGCACAAATGAAAGGTAATGAATCAGAGCAGGACCCACTTAAATGATTTTTTGGGGGTTAGGACCTTCTGGGAATTGAAGGGGTTCAAAGTTGGTATTATTTTTTTTTTACGTGTCCACCGTACATTCTTTCGGCAAGTTTCGCTAGCTCTGTACGGCAAAGTTCAACACCGGACATAGCTCAAATGAAAGGTAATGAATCAGAGCAGGACCCACTTAAATGATTTTTTGGGGGTTAGGACCTTCTGGGAATTGAAGGGGTTCAAAGTTGGTATTATTTTTTTTTTTACGTGTCCACCGTACATTCTTTCGGCAAGTTTCGCCAGCTCTGTACGGCAAAGTTCAACACCGGACATAGTTCAAAAGAAAGGTAATGAATCAGAGCAGGACCCACTTAAATGATTTTTTGGGGGTTAGGACCTTCTAGGAATTGAAGGGGTTCAAAGTTGGTATTAATTTTTTTTTTACGTGTCCACCGTACATTCTTTCGGCAAGTCTCGCCAGCTCCGTACGGCAAAGTTCGACACCGGACATAGCTCAAATGAAAGGTAATGAATCAGAGCAGGACCCACTTAAATGATTTTTTGGGGGTTAGGACCTTCTGGGAATTGAAGGGGTTCAAAGTTGGTATTATTTACGTGTCCACCGTACATTCTTTCGGCAAGTTTCGCCAGCTCTGTACGGCAAAGTTCAACACCGGACATAGCTCAAATGAAAGGTAATGAATCAGAGCAGGACCCACTTAAATGATTTTTTGGGGGTTAGGACCTTCTGTGAATTGAAGGGGTTCAAAGTTGGTATTATTTTTTTTTTTACGTGTCCACCGTACATTCTTTCGGCAAGTTTCGCCAGCTCTGTACGGCAAAGTTCAACACCGGACATAGCTCAAATGAAAGGTAATGAATCAGAGCAGGACCCACTTAAATGATTTTTTGGGGGTTAGGACCTTCTAGGAATTGAAGGGGTTCAAAGTTGGAATTAATTTTTTTTTACGTGTCCACCGTACATTCTTTCGGCAAGTCTCGCCAGCTCCGTACGGCAAAGTTCGACACCGGACATAGCTCAAATGAAAGGTAATGAATCAGAGCAGGACCCACTTAAATGATTTTTTGGGGGTTAGGACCTTCTGGGAATTGAAGGGGTTCAAAGTTGGTATTATTTTTTTTTTTACGTGTCCACCGTACATTCTTTCGGCAAGTTTCGCCAGCTCTGTACGGCAAAGTTCAACACCGGACATAGCTCAAATGAAAGGTAATGAATCAGAGCAGGACCCACTTAAATGATTTTTTGGGGGTTAGGACCTTCTGGGAATTGAAGGGGTTCAAATTTGGTATTATTTTTTTTTTTACGTGTCCACCGTACATTCTTTCGGCAAGTTTCGCCAGCTCTGTACGGCAAAGTTCAACACCGGACATAGTTCAAATGAAAGGTAATGAATCAGAGCAGGACCCACTTAAATGATTTTTTGGGGGTTAGGACCTTCTAGGAATTGAAGGGGTTCAAAGTTGGTATTAATTTTTTTTTTACGTGTCCACCGTACATTCTTTCGGCAAGTCTCGCCAGCTCCGTACGGCAAAGTTCGACACCGGACATAGCTCAAATGAAAGGTAATGAATCAGAGCAGGACCCACTTAAATGATTTTTTGGGGGTTAGGACCTTCTGGGAATTGAAGGGGTTCAAAGTTGGTATTATTTTTTTTTTTACGTGTCCACCGTACATTCTTTCGGCAAGTTTCGCCAGCTCTGTACGGCAAAGTTCAACACCGGACATAGCTCAAATGAAAGGTAATGAATCAGAGCAGGACCCACTTAAATGATTTTTTGGGGGTTAGGACCTTCTGGGAATTGAAGGGGTTCAAAGTTGGTATTATTTTTTTTTTTACGTGTCCACCGTACATTCTTTCGGCAAGTTTCGCCAGCTCTGTACGGCAAAGTTCAACACCGGACATAGTTCAAAAGAAAGGTAATGAATCAGAGCAGGACCCACTTAAATGATTTTTTGGGGGTTAGGACCTTCTAGGAATTGAAGGGGTTCAAAGTTGGTATTAATTTTTTTTTTACGTGTCCACCGTACATTCTTTCGGCAAGTCTCGCCAGCTCCGTACGGCAAAGTTCGACACCGGACATAGCTCAAATGAAAGGTAATGAATCAGAGCAGGACCCACTTAAATGATTTTTTGGGGGTTAGGACCTTCTGGGAATTGAAGGGGTTCAAAGTTGGTATTATTTTTTTTTTTACGTGTCCACCGTACATTCTTTCGGCAAGTTTCGCCAGCTCTGTACGGCAAAGTTCAACACCGGACATAGCTCAAATGAAAGGTAATGAATCAGAGCAGGACCCACTTAAATGATTTTTTGGGGGTTAGGACCTTCTGGGAATTGAAGGGGTTCAAATTTGGTATTATTTTTTTTTTTACGTGTCCACCGTACATTCTTTCGGCAAGTTTCGCCAGCTCTGTACGGCAAAGTTCAACACCGGACATAGTTCAAATGAAAGGTAATGAATCAGAGCAGGACCCACTTAAATGATTTTTTGGGGGTTAGGACCTTCTAGGAATTGAAGGGGTTCAAAGTTGGTATTAATTTTTTTTTTTACGTGTCCACCGTACATTCTTTCGGCAAGTCTCGCCAGCTCCGTACGGCAAAGTTCGACACCGGACATAGCTCAAATGAAAGGTAATGAATCAGAGCAGGACCCACTTAAATGATTTTTTGGGGGTTAGGACCTTCTGGGAATTGAAGGGGTTCAAAGTTGGTATTATTTTTTTTTTTACGTGTCCACCGTACATTCTTTCGGCAAGTTTCGCCAGCTCTGTACGGCAAAGTTCAACACCGGACATAGCTCAAATGAAAGGTAATGAATCAGAGCAGGACCCACTTAAATGATTTTTTGGGGGTTAGGACCTTCTGGGAATTGAAGGGGTTCAAAGTTGGTATTATTTTTTTTTTTACGTGTCCACCGTACATTCTTTCGGCAAGTTTCGCCAGCTCTGTACGGCAAAGTTCAACACCGGACATAGTTCAAAAGAAAGGTAATGAATCAGAGCAGGACCCACTTAAATGATTTTTTGGGGGTTAGGACCTTCTAGGAATTGAAGGGGTTCAAAGTTGGTATTAATTTTTTTTTTACGTGTCCACCGTACATTCTTTCGGCAAGTCTCGCCAGCTCCGTACGGCAAAGTTCGACACCGGACATAGCTCAAATGAAAGGTAATGAATCAGAGCAGGACCCACTTAAATGATTTTTTGGGGGTTAGGACCTTCTGGGAATTGAAGGGGTTCAAAGTTGGTATTATTTTTTTTTTTACGTGTCCACCGTACATTCTTTCGGCAAGTTTCGCCAGCTCTGTACGGCAAAGTTCAACACCGGACATAGCTCAAATGAAAGGTAATGAATCAGAGCAGGACCCACTTAAATGATTTTTTGGGGGTTAGGACCTTCTGTGAATTGAAGGGGTTCAAAGTTGGTATTATTTTTTTTTTTACGTGTCCACCGTACATTCTTTCGGCAAGTTTCGCCAGTTCTGTACGGCAAAGTTCAACACCGGACATAGCTCACATGAAAGGTAATGAATCAGAGCAGGACCCACTTAAATGATTTTTTGGGGGTTAGGACCTTCTAGGAATTGAAGGGGTTCAAAGTTGGTATTAATTTTTTTTTACGTGTCCACCGTACATTCTTTCGGCAAGTCTCGCCAGCTCCGTACGGCAAAGTTCGACACCGGACATAGCTCAAATGAAAGGTAATGAATCAGAGCAGGACCCACTTAAATGATTTTTTGGGGGTTAGGACCTTCTGTGAATTGAAGGGGTTCAAAGTTGGTATTATTTTTTTTTTAAGTGTCCACCGTACATTCTTTCGGCAAGTTTCGCCAGCTCTGTACGGCAAAGTTCAACACCGGACATAGCTCAAATGAAAGGTAATGAATCAGAGCAGGACCCACTTAAATGATTTTTTGGGGGTTAGGACCTTCTGGGAATTGAAGGGGTTCAAATTTGGTATTATTTTTTTTTTTACGTGTCCACCGTACATTCTTTCGGCAAGTTTCGCCAGCTCTGTACGGCAAAGTTCAACACCGGACATAGTTCAAATGAAAGGTAATGAATCAGAGCAGGACCCACTTAAATGATTTTTTGGGGGTTAGGACCTTCTAGGAATTGAAGGGGTTCAAAGTTGGTATTAATTTTTTTTTTACGTGTCCACCGTACATTCTTTCGGCAAGTCTCGCCAGCTCCGTACGGCAAAGTTCGACACCGGACATAGCTCAAATGAAAGGTAATGAATCAGAGCAGGACCCACTTAAATGATTTTTTGGGGGTTAGGACCTTCTGGGAATTGAAGGGGTTCAAAGTTGGTATTATTTTTTTTTTTACGTGTCCACCGTACATTCTTTCGGCAAGTTTCGCCAGCTCTGTACGGCAAAGTTCAACACCGGACATAGCTCAAATGAAAGGTAATGAATCAGAGCAGGACCCACTTAAATGATTTTTTGGGGGTTAGGACCTTCTGGGAATTGAAGGGGTTCAAAGTTGGTATTATTTTTTTTTTTACGTGTCCACCGTACATTCTTTCGGCAAGTTTCGCCAGCTCTGTACGGCAAAGTTCAACACCGGACATAGTTCAAAAGAAAGGTAATGAATCAGAGCAGGACCCACTTAAATGATTTTTTGGGGGTTAGGACCTTCTAGGAATTGAAGGGGTTCAAAGTTGGTATTAATTTTTTTTTTACGTGTGCACCGTACATTCTTTCGGCAAGTTTCGCCAGCTCTGTACGGCAAAGTTCAACACCGGACATAGCTCAAATGAAAGGTAATGAATCAGAGCAGGACCCACTTAAATGATTTTTTGGGGGTTAGGACCTTCTGGGAATTGAAGGGGTTCAAATTTGGTATTATTTTTTTTTTTACGTGTCCACCGTACATTCTTTCGGCAAGTTTCGCCAGCTCTGTACGGCAAAGTTCAACACCGGACATAGTTCAAATGAAAGGTAATGAATCAGAGCAGGACCCACTTAAATGATTTTTTGGGGGTTAGGACCTTCTAGGAATTGAAGGGGTTCAAAGTTGGTATTAATTTTTTTTTTACGTGTCCACCGTACATTCTTTCGGCAAGTCTCGCCAGCTCCGTACGGCAAAGTTCGACACCGGACATAGCTCAAA